CAGAAATATAATGAAAGTAACTGAGTTGTGCACAAGTCTGTTTTCACTTATTTGGAGCTGAGGCTAGAGTAAATGCGTGTCGGCGTTCAAGAGTTGTGCTTTTAACTGTCCTCGGGAAGCTGCAGAGGTCAATCAAATTGATTCTGATGGGTTAGATTAAAAAAGGGTCAAATTTAAAAGGTAAATAACAAACTGGCGATGATTAGAAGAATATAAGGCCTATGCAGAATGTAAGGTATAGTATACTAGAACCAAGTTTCTATCCTTGTGATAGAAAGAACGACTAAATTGAATTATCTATTCATCTTACAGACATTAAAAGCAATTTATATGAGTTCCAAACTTCTGAAAAACTAAATTGTCATGCAGTGAATTTAACTGTGAAAATCTTACGAAGCCTAAGATGTATTTATTGCCATTGCCTCCAGCATCACAGGTTATTACCATTGCTCCTGAACTAAAACTTGAACGAAGAGCTTGAAGATTGGCCGAAGCGATATATTATATCAGCTATGAGTAGACCATGTCAGATACCACCGTCTGACTGTTTCAGTCGCTAGGTGGTTCCCTGATCCACATAAGGTCAGCGATTACCTGTGGTGAAAGCTTGAGGCCCTGGCAAGACTCTGCTAATGTTTGGGGAAAAGTTTTTTTATTGCCCGTACAGCATGTAAGAGAAAAAGAAGTCCTGCACACTGGATCACGTCTTGGACGTCGGATGTCATCAAGACCAGTCTCAGATTGCAGAGGACGCCATGGATTTTGGACCAAAAGAACACGTCAACGAATCGCCATAGAAGTTGTCTTATGCTCTGCACTCAGTCCAACGCCAGGACAGTCTCCACCAACGCCGATCTTCGCACCCTTTACGAAAGTGCAGGGTGCATCAACTACCACCTAATCACCTTGCAGGAAACAAAGTCCAGGAAGACGGACGTGAGGTAGCTGAGTGATGGCACACTCATCATTCGTAGTGAAAAGGTTCTATTACTGAATGTTGGAGGCGTTGGATTTGTCGTACACCCATCGTCCATCTCGTCGATTCGCATGAGATCCTATCACCTTGCCTGGCTATCCTTCGACTCCGTCCTCTGCATCAGAAAACAATCACTATTATCAACTGCTATTCTCCAATATCAGCTCCTCAAAAAAGAAAACTCCTTCTATAAGTTCGTCGTGGGTGACTTCAATGCGAAAATCGGGATGTTAGAAGAAGGGGACACAGGATCGGGAGATTTGGATCAGGGTTCCGGAATGAGAAGGGTAACCGTCTTGTTAGGCCAACTCCATTTTTATGAAGAGAGAACACCGGCGGTGGACATGGAAGTCTTGCAACGGTACGACTCATGCGGAGATCAACCACATCATTCTTAGCAACCGAAGGTGGTGCTCTAAACATTTTAGTGGTACCATCCTTCAGTAGTGGCTCAAACCACCGTCTTCTTCGAACAATAATGCGATTTATCCGAAAGCTGGAAAAGAAGATCTGCCACTGTGTTGGAGGAGGAGAGAAGTCGTATGTGACGGCTTCAGATTAGAGGAGCTCCTCACCATTT